GCCCTGGAGTCCCCAGGGCTGCTGGCATAACCAAGTCTTAAGGGACCTAATTGTTTTAAACAATTTGTAAACCACCCAGAGGTTGATGGGAGTCGGGCGGCATATAAATTTATTATTATTGTTGGTCATACAGTCAGCCAGATGTTTAGACTAGATCTGGCATTTTATCTACCTATCAAGTCCTTCTCAACGACCTGGGATAGATATCATCATCATCATCATCATCATCATCATCATCATCATCATCATCACACTGGTGATCAATTCCATTCAGTAAGTTTATAAAAGTAATGGAAGATAAATGCAAATTGTAGGGAGAGAGGATTTTATAGGTTAATTTTGGCCTGGAAGAAAGGAAGAAAACCATATTCTTAGTCTTTTTCTACCATAAATACAATGAAATTATGTCAAGAAGCTCTTCTTTACCAAAGAAGACATGCCAAAAGCATGAATCTGTTTTGCCTCAGTATAATTTTTAAAAAGCATAAAGGATCCCTTTGTCAACTCCTTCCTTAAACCTATTTTCTTTATTTTACCTTTTCAGTCCCTTTCAGATTTTGCAGCTAAGTTTACATAAGATGCTGGAGAAAACTGCCAGTAACCAATTGTGAACCATTTGATATAAGCTAAGTACCAAATATAGAACACCTATATAATGGCAGAAGAATTGGGAAAAAGGGACAAGATTATTCCATAGAAAGAGAAGTTGGGTAAAGAATCAACTACAGAAACAGGCCGAGACAGGAGAAAAGGTGGTGTTGTGCTGCATCCCTAAGGGCAGGTCTGTACTTATGCTTGGTCTATGGCCGGCATAGGTCACCCACTGCTTCTTCCTCCCCCAACTTCCAGCCATTGCAAATATACCCTGTGCTGTGTTTTCCAACTTCAATTCAAAACTGCCATTTTTCAATCCCAGCTGTGTTAAGCCCTTCAGAGCAGATGGTCTCCAGCACTTTATTCCGATCTAGTGGCAGCCCCAGCCACAATTGGCTGCAGTACCTGGCACAACCCTCCCGTTTAGCAGCTGGTCACTACCCTGTGCAGCTATTTCAACTTGGGCTGCTGCTTTATTCTATGCATTAAAAAAGAAAAAATCTTGCAGTTGATCCAACAATGGCTCATTAAATCAATGAACTATCCTCACCCATAGAAGCTCATGCTCCATTTAACCCCTATTTCTCTCAATGGGCACCCTTTCGGTTTCTCTCCAGATTAGATGAAGCATGCTCCTATTGCTTTCCCATCCTCAGTCCAGAGTACTGCAAAGCTTCCCTTCTCTCTCTTTTTTTCTTAAAAAAAAAAACAAAATTTACAACTGGGTACATTGTTACTATGTTTCCATATATCAGTTCTTCCTTTCTGCAGAGGAACCTTAGAATGAAAGAACAACCTGTTGCTTTATTGTAGCATCAGAGCAATAAGGGTACCTTAATAGGACAAAAGAAAAAGAAAGGGTCTGTTTTAGTGTCAAAGGAGATAATGTGGGAACAGAGTGTGAAAATATCCATGCATACAAACATTTGGGAAAGCAAAGGAAAGGCATGGGGATTAGTGAGGAGGGAACAGTTCCTAAAAGGAAAAGGCAGGCACTGGCAGACCAATCTACAAAGAAGCCAGCAAGTGAGGCTTACCTTTTCTGCATAGAAGAGGAGAAGCAGCAGTGATAAAGAAGCCAGATATGAAACCATGTTAGAACCGTAGCAATGCAGAAGTGACTGGCACATCAGATCCGGCCAGGGGTGGGGGTGGGGAAGGGAGGAGAAGTAGACTTCTTCTGTGCTTTCTTGGCCACATATGAGGTTTTTCTTTGGAAATATAAAAAAACTATGGTTAACGTGAACCATTCTACAGTGCTATTCAACAGGTCATTGAGATATTTGTGAATGTGAGAAAGCTTACCTTTGTTGATTCAAGTAAAATGTACAATGAACAGACTCAAATTATGGAATTTTGTGCAAATGTGGAATTAAAACTTGGTTGCTGAAATGCTAAGGGAAGTACCTGATGGAAGTAAAGCATGCATGAGAATAAACACAAAGTTTAATGGATGGTTGTACATCGAGTATGTGGTAAGACATGAATTTGTGATGTTCCCTTACATAATTATAAATAAATGTATAAGGTATGCTGTGGTGACGTTAGAGATGTGTTACTTGGGGATATGAAGGTAATCAGTAGTACATGGGCTGTTATGAAGAGTGAATGTTGAAAGAAGTAAAAATAGTTGTAAACAATTGCATCTCCTATTTGTTTTGTTATACATGTTATGCAGTAAAAGCTATGTATATTATCTGTACAGTTTATTAACTTAGATCTATTGCTAGAGTTCATACCACAGTGAACCAACACTTAACTACCCAACTGCATTTTTATTATGTTGTATAAACCCATTCTTACATAGACAGTTACAATAAAGTTCTATTCAAAAATATGAGTTTGGTACAATCCTGAAAAATAAACCCTGTCGCATTCAATGGCATTAACTCTCAGATAAGCTTGAATAGGGATGGCAGTGTGAGGAAAACAGTGAGTACATGGCATGCGCCACAATATAATCCGCTATCAAAAAGGCTCTTTCTCTTACTCGGATGCAACAATAGTCTTTGAGGCACCTTTAAAGACTAACACATCATGGATTAGGATCCGCTTCGTCAACTGCAGGGAAGGAAAACGGAACCCTGCGCCAAAATAAATACGTGTGACAGTTTTCAAAGTAGCGCCACACTTTTTTACGACGCGTCAAGAATATGAATCTCAGGGAGGGGCGCGGAGCGTTAAGAGATTAAGTAAAACCCAGTGGACAAGGACGGAGTGGAGAAGGAGGGAGAGAGGGAAACAGCCAGATATTCCGACGTTTGGCCTAAGGCCCCCTCACTGCTAGGGGACACGTTCCGACGTCACTTACCAGGTAGGCCAGCCGGCGCTGTGCTGCGAGCCTGGTAACCCCGGAGACCAACAAGCGTTAGTAGCTACGGCCCGGAACGGCTCAAACATCCGGGGGAGGAGCCACAGTCTGAGCCGCGCGCGGGAACGAGGGGGAGGCAGCAGAAGCTCACGGAGGTCGAAGGAACTTTTCTGGTAACGGCTTCACTTGGGTAGCAGTCGGTTGAGGCAGAATCGCGCGGTGAGCTGAATGGGGGGGGCAGTGGGTGGCGGCTTTTCCAAACGGCTTTTTGAACCCGGTGGTCAGGATGTTTTCCAATTCCGAAGCTTTACTGGGGTGGACAGTGATGCCCGTTTCTTTTCCAGTAGCGTGGGTGGGAATCACAGTTTAAAAAACCATGGCGTTCTTGAGCACGTACGCCTCACTTTTGGAGTTCTTGGTACTAATTTCCCGCTATCTTCCCATGGTCCCAAAGCGTTTGCTTTTTACCTTACGCTTCTGGCGTAGCAAGATACGTAATCAAGCTAAGAAGGTGAAGAAGGGCTGCAGCAACGCTGCGAGGTGCAAATGATTCTTCAGGTACAAATGGTTGTGAAGTTATCTGTTTGCTATTGGACTGGAAGTACCTTGAGGAGAGCAGGATCGTTAACAAACTGGGTAATCATTCATCAATGGCTTGGAACCTAGTCCAGTGCATGCTTAGATTGGGTTTCTTTTTTAGCATTTATACACAGGATTAAACATTTGTTCTGTTGATCACAATAATTGGAGTCCTGCCTTAGTTTATTTCAGGTAGTCACACTGAAATTATTACAGCTAAAGTTACGCATAGCCCTTTACATCCTGTTAATTTGAGTGGGATACCTTTAAGCCTGGATTCAGCCCAACATTTAGTGTAGACCAGTGATGGCAAACCTATGACATGCATGTCAAAGGTGACATGCCACGACATTTTGGGTGACACGCCAGTGTTCACTAACACCCAACAACTATTCTCCCTCTGAGTTATAAAGAAACTGAGTTTGTTTTACTCGTATTTCATTTTTGTAATTATTTGATGTTTCTTTTGGCAAACCTATGACATGCATGTCAAAGGTGACATGCCACGACATTTTGGGTGACACGCCAGTGTTCACTAACACCCAACAACTATTCTCCCTCTGAGTTATAAAGAAACTGAGTTTGTTTTACTCGTATTTCATTTTTGTAATTATTTGATGTTTCTTTATATAATACATAGCACCACCATGATTGGACTGTATTTTTTTAAAATAAATGAATATGTAAAGAATTGTTTCTCTTTTGTTCAGGGGAGTGACACCCCAGCAGAGTCAAGTTAGGCATTTTCCAAATTTTTGGCACACCAAGCCCAAAATGTTCACCATCACTGGTTTAGACTATGGACATGCACATAATTCCCCTAACTTTAGAAAGAATACTGGCATCATATAGAATTATTACTTCTTGCCTAGCAGGGCTGGCTTAATTACTGTATTTTATCTGGGTTTTCATGGAGTTGTATAGCAAAGTAGACAGGACTTCCCATCAGACTGGCAAAGTACAAGTGCTGGCAGGTAAGGTAGCATTTATGTCAGCTGTGTAATTAGCAGTCATTTGGTAATGATTATTTACTAGGAATTGAGCATAGGCATCGGAGAAATTAAACAGGAGAGCTGATTTAATAGTCCTGTGAAAGCAACCACTTTCACTGGAACTGAGTCTTGGAGAAGTTTGTCAAAGAATGGTTACTTAGCTGTCTACCATGAAGAAAGCATTCAAAATGGCTGCAGGTAGCTGTTCATCTGAATAAGGTGTTGGAGCGCAATCAGTGTGCTGCCATGTCATTTTTACATCATCCAGGCCCCACTTGCTCCCAAGCAAATCCCCACTTGTTCTCAAGTTCTGCTACTGGGGAGGTTAATAGGAACAATGCCACTCGGCAGGCAATGAACTCCTTGACCATTGCTTGTCAGGAGCCTTCATCTATCAAGAGCAAAACTGTCAGACCCTAGTGATGTGCTACTTAGCCCTGGGCAGTTATTTGCATACACATGCACACACACTTTCTCTCTATGAAAATAAATAAATAAATGGGTGGGCAGCGTTTTTTTTTTTTTTTTGCTGCCTCATAAGTTCCTAATTGCAAGGGTAATTATATCCAACGTGAACATGCTTTGTTGGCTTTCTAACTTGAGAAGCACTTGATGACCATTAGTCTTCTGGCCTCTACATGAGATGAATATGTGCTGCATTTCCATACCTGCAGTCTCAGGACAGCTTTGAAGTCAAAGCTGAGTAGGGTGTCTGGATATAAATTGTGAAGCAAGGTCCCTGATGCTGATCCTTTTTAGCCATAGTATAATGGTACTAGAATTTGAACAGAAACTCATTGATTTCAATATAATTGAAGTTTGTCATACCTTTCTGTTTATGTGTCTATTTTAAATAGATGGAAGGGGTTGTTAAGAAACCAAGGATTCAATTAACTGGATTTAAGAATGAAGAAAAGAAGATGCTAATCCAGTTGCTTCTGAAATTAGACTGTTTTTTCTTTGACAGTGAGGTAAATGATAGTACTTGATAAAATTACATAAGGTAATTGTGGGCCTGCAGCAGTTTTATTGGAAAGAGTTTCTGATTTGAAACTGGACTCAATTTCTTGTCTTGGTATAAATGGAGACAGACAGACAGACCCATCATGTTATTTTCTTTCATAAGTAGAATACTGCATTCTTTCATAATGCAGAATACAGAAAAAGAGTAAGAAATTAAGGCATGAGATAAGAAAAGGAAACATAGTACCAGATGGACTCATAGATGTTAATCTGACCATTATGGCTTTGGTCAGTTGAAGTTTTCACAAGATGCTTTTTAGTAAGATAAGGTGTAACCTAAGTTACCAGTTTTAGTCATGTCTGTGCCACGTGCAGTATTCCTTGCTAACAGTAAGGACAGCACTAGTCATTTCTGGCACATTTTGATCAGATTGCCATAGTACAACCAAAGCTCAGTTATACTCCAAACACACTCACACTATTTTATGCAAGCTAGGATATTCTGTGCAAGCTAACATACTGTTGTGTGCATCCCACTAAGAGTTACTTGTTAATGCAGTGTGCTGACCCACAGTAAAGATGCCTGCTAATCCTTAAATAACACACAAATTTTAATAACAATTCTCTGTTCTTTTTTTCTTTAGCAATATAAAAATTGCACTCATCTTATAGCAAAAAAGCCTTGCAAGAGTGAAAAGTTTTTAGCAGCATGTGCAGCAGGTAAGTGTAATATGCTGTAGTTGTTTCAGGTGATACAGTGACCAGTTGTATATAATGATTCATTGGAAGAGGGTGACACGCAAAAATATAGCAAAGACATGACATGGATTTCTTTGCTGCTTGTATACTGAGAAGAATACAATTTGAAATGTCTGAGTAAAAAACAACAAAGGTCTAATATATGTTTTTCTTTTATTCTTATTTCCACTCTATCTGTGCACTACTTCATACATTGTCTTTGGGTCTTTAAAATTCTTACCTCTTTTGTTTCTTGGATATCATATTCATTTGTAGGGAGATATGTAAACATATACAGACAGTCCCCTACTTACGAATGCATTACGTTCTGAGAGGCTGTTCATAAGACAACCAAAAAAAACATGCGCAGTTTGCACCTTACATAAGCGGTAGTGTTGACGTAGGCACTTGCGGCGATGGTGTAGGCATCTGCAGAGGTGGCGTAAGCTCGTCCTCTGTACTTTTTTCCACCTTCCTGAAAAAGTGGTCCAGTGAAGTTTGGGTGGTAGTCTTCCTCTTCTCATAAATGATGCTGTAGCACGGGATTGCATCATGAACAGCTGCAGACACCTTGGTGAAGTGCTCCATGGTAGGGTCCTGCATCTCAAACAGTGATAGCACTTTCTCAATCAAGCTGAACCCCTCCACCATCAGCTTGGTCTGGAACTGCTTCAGTGGTTCAGTCTCTTCCTCTTCCTCTTGTTTTTGCTGCTCCTCCAACTCCATGAGGTCTTCACTGGAGAGGTCCTCTGTCTGTACAGCTAGCAGCTCATGAAAGTTCCCCTCCTCCAGGTTGAGCTGAAGCTCCTTGCTGAGGGCAACCAAGTTACTGACAACAGCCTGTGACTCCCTTTCTGCCACCTCAAGCCCGCAAGAGTCTTGAATGAACTGAGGGCATAGACGTTTCCACATCCCGTTCACCGGGGTAACCTCGCACCAGACTGCATTGATGTTCTTGATGACCTTGTAGATGTTGTAGGACTTCCAAAACTGGTGGAAGGTCATCTGTGAATCCACTTCGGTTGCCTGGACTGCCTGCCTAAATGTGTGCCAAAGATAGTATTTTTTTAAGGTTGCTATCACTCCCTGGTCCATCGGCTGCAGGAGGGAGGTGGTGTTGGGAGACAGATACACAACCTTCACATTCGGATGGAAATCGTCCAGGTAAGGAGGATGACTCGGGGTATTATCCAGTATCAGAATCTTGAACTCGATGTTTTTCACATGGCAGTACCTCTCCGCTTCCGGGATGAAATGGTGGAAAAGCCAGTCCTCAAAGATGACAAGGGCAACCCAAGCTTTCTTGTTAGCCTTCCACACAACAGGAAGTGAGCTTTTTGAAATGTTCTTGAGAGCTTGTGGGCTCTCAGAGTGGTAGACTAGCAGCAGTTCTAGGCTCAGGTCACCAGAAGCAGTGCCACCTAGCAGCACAGTTAGCCTATCCTTCACAGCTTTGAAGCCTGGCATGGTCTTCTCCTCCTTGCTGATGTACATTCTGTCTGGCATTTTCTTCCAATAAAGTCCCGTTTCATCCACATTGAATATTTGCTGGGGCAAATAACCATCTTCCTCGATGTTCTCCTTGAGGGTTTCTGGGAACTCCTTGGCTGCAGCTTTGTCTGCACTTGCTGCCTCACCACTGACTTTCATGTTATGAAGATTCATACGAGCCTTAAAGTGGTGGACCCACCCATGGCTTGCAGCAAACGCTTCTTCAGCAGCACCTTCACCAGCCTTCTGTTGTAAGTCATGGAATAAGCTCTTAGCCTTCTCCTGGATCATTATTAGGCTAAGCAGCACACGTCACTGATGCTGGTCTTTGATCCACATGCCAAGCAGTGCCTCCATCTCTTCCATTACCTTTCCTCTCCTCTTGCATTATTGTGGATTGCAGAGGCACTGAACTTTTCACATGTTCTGTGATCTTGTCTTTGTTCTTAATGATCATTCCAATAGTGGAGCAATTCATGCCGTAGGAACGTGCCACATTCGCCATCTTCTCCCCCCCCCCATTTTCTTCAATATCTCCATTTTCATGAGCATTGTAATGGACTGTCGCTTCTTCGCACTACCCCCCTCCCCTTCAGGACTCTTGTGCTTAATTGCAGACATTTGCAGTTAAGCAATTCGCAGTCGCCACACACCAAACACAACCGACCATGCAAGTAGTCAGGACTGGAAGTCAGCACCGGAAGTCAGGAGATGGTGGGAAAGGATTAGTTTTCAGCGCGCTTTCTCCTGCCTTCTGGCCCAACTTCCAGTTCCAACTTCCGGGTCCTTCTTGTTCGTATTGGCCGAAGTTTGCATCTTGAAAGTTCATATGTAGGGGACCGTCCGTAGAAGAAAATGTTCCTTCCACATTTACGAACAGATTTGGAAATTGTGAAATTGATGCAGTTTATTTCTGGTGCTAATATTAGAATGAGCATGAAAAGGGTAGAGGGACCATAGCGGAAGTTACCATATAATAATGTATGTAACCAAAATGCTATAGTAGGCCATTAACTTTGGATATTTGTGTTTCTATTCTGAGTCTTGCTGCCTAAACAGATCCCTGTTAAGAGAAAGAAAAATACTTGAAGGATAAAAGTGTATTGATGACTAAAGGATAACAATATCATGTGGATGCCCTGTTAAATTAATGCATAGTAAAGTCCTCCTAGAAGCACCTGTTAGGTCTGGTGTGTCTTTTGTGCCAAACGATTAAATACTGGAGAAATTGAAATATATTCAATGCTTAATTTTTGCATCATATAAACATAAAATGCACTATCTATAACTTGACTTATAAAAGTAAGTTTGGTGTAAAAAAATAAAATATTGATTGAATCTACTGTTGATGGTTTTGAACAGTGTCATCTTACAAGACCCAAAAGAGTGCCTTCACTGTTGCAGTGGCTGTCCTTTGGAATAACATCCCCCCAAAGATTTGTATAGCTGCCACCTTTATGATGTTTAGGAAATCACTAAAAATTTGGTTATTCTCCTAGGGTTGGGATAGGGTAGCTGTGGAGTACTCTTTAGTTAACGCTGGTTTTATATCTGGTTGTATTGTTCTGGTTGGCTATGATTCCTCTTTAAAGTACTTTTTTAAATTATTACTATTTGTACACAATCAGAGTCATTAAGGAGTCTGGCAGCTCCAAAATTGTAAAATAAATAAAAATAAACTAAGTAAATATCCATCCTCCTTAAGTTAATCGCTCTGGCTACAGTTACATTAAATTGATTACACTCAGTGATATAGGTGTCTTACTTTTTACCACAGCACATTTATTTATTTATTTAATTTGTATTTGGGATTCAACTCAGCAAATAAATATTTGCTATCAGGAAGTCCTGATGTTCTGATCTAATCAATCTGGAGATTGCCAAGTCACTTAGTTTTATAACTCTATAATATATATATATATATATATGGAAATCAGTGTTGCAAGACCTTTTTTAGATCTGTTGTGCTAGGGATGGCCGGGAAACTGATGTCATTTCTGAATAGGGTTTATATCTGTCTTGAGCCAGAGACAGCTTTATATATGGAAGAGAAAGCACTGACAGAGTGATTTGGGGGAAGATTTTATTTATTTATATGTCAAATTTATATGGCTGCAATCTATCCAAAGAAACTCTGGCAATGAAAAAATAAGAAACATTGTCAAAGGGTAAAACAAGCACCCCTATCTCAAAATACATATGAGACGTACTACCACACTTAGAGCTTCTTTATATATACCTGCCAGAATATATGGAGGGCTGACATAACAAATGGTAGAATTTTTTTGGCTGATGTATGTTAAGCTGTTATTTTCCCTGAAGGATCTTCAGTTTCATTCTAGAGGAGGGCTTCTCATCCATCCAGATTGGGCCATCCGGGATTGTAATCGAGACTCACTTTTTGAGATTGCTGGACACCTGTATAGTTAAACAGTTTCTTCTCCTTCAGTAGTTTAGACAAAATCTTAGATTTCTCTGGATTATATGTATTAGAGTTTTCATGCTGATCAACTTTAGGGTGTGAAGATATAAGGAATCCTGCTAGTGTTCATATTACCATCTGAGCATGTTTGGCACTATTAAGATGTAATTTCCTCTTGTTCATGCTTTGACAAGGCTCCAAAGAAGTTAATTTTTCCAGCTTCAGAGGAATAATACGTTGAGATTTTTTGGAGTTGCTGTTTCTTGTTTCCTGTGGGTTCTTTTTATCTTTTTATAGCCTCTTCTATTCATCCTTGTAATATTACTGTGTCTAGTAGAGCTGCATTGTTCAAGAAGCTCTTTCAGGTATCCATGCTAGAAATTATGTCTTTTTTATCCATCTGTGGCTGTTTTTTTAACAAATGTATCTGGCCTTGCTTCTTCTTTCTAATTGTTGAGTCATTCTAGGTTTGTCAGTGCTATTATCTGCTCATGTCTAGGTAGCCTTGGAATTGTGGGGAGAAAATGATCAGCTCTGTTGAGCAGAAGCATTTCCATTTTTGCATAATTTGATGTTATTTTGTCCAGCTTCTCTAAATTTGGTCTCTGTACAGCTTTTTGTTGCTATCCTAACACTTTTCCCATTTTGTATGAGGAGTAAGAGGTACAGTATAAACATCTATAAAGATTTAGTTTGGAAGAATTTAAAAACTGTTCAGAAAATTCTTCATTTTCATGAGTATCTGTGGAATAGTTGGTATTTAAATCTTCTTATTGAGCGGAAACCAAATAACTCTAAGTGGAAATTGCGTAGCTTATAAGCTTCATTAAGGTAGGTTGGATTACCTTTTTGTTACACCATTTCCCTCTATTTGTGTTATTCATTACTATCAGAAACACCACCTTTGTAAGAGGATTTGTGAATTAATATTATTTTGAAATCTGCTAGCCTGTTCCTTTTCTTCTCTGCTATTGTGCCTCAGCTGAGGTAAGGAATCATTGCTATTACTATTTATATTTAGACTGTTTGGTGTTTCTCATATTTCTTCCAGTAATCCAGTATGTTGTGTTTGGCTATCCACATGTGAACAGGATATCTCTAACATTAGCGTTGTTTATGCTTGGAAAGGACCTGTTTGTCTGTCTATTTGCTTCCAATCATAATTCTGGAAAAATAACTTGAGCACAAGTTCCATTTCTCAACTCTGTTGTTAATAGTTATTAACTGCTCAGATACTGAAATCAGTGAGAAAACTGTGTCTGATCAGTTTAGGCAGGAAGCAGAATGCACTATCAGGAATTTCTTGTATCAGGACTATTCTTTATTTGGGACATTTTCACCTTCGCATACCAATTCTTCCTCATTGCAAATATAATTGCCTAACAATGGTTTAAAGCACTTACAGGTTATGAGTCTTGAAGAAATATCAAATTTCCGATTTTTGCTGTTTTGAGCTCCTAATTGTGCTTCGTGCCCAGGCCTCTTCCTGCAGTGCTTTTTAACTTCTTTTGTTTTAGCTACAGATTTGTTTGTCTTGTGGCCCATTTTGCCCATTAATTCAAGCAGAATGAGAAGTTTCTCAAAGCTATGCTTGCACAAACAGACAGTACAGTACATCATACTCAGCACCCATTCCATTAGAAAGCAGTATATATTCCAGATTGCTCACTATTCCTCCTTTTTAAAAAAATATAGCTGTTGCAATTATGCACAGTGCTAGTAGACATACCAAGATATTTAATGTGGATTTAGAGTATAGCAGCACTTTATACAGGTATATCTTAATAAAGTGAAATTTACAGATTTCTTGGGATAACAATAGCCCAGGTTTATTATACAGTACACACTTTTAGTTGGGGTTCTCCAGGCTTAGGGAGATAAGTACCAAAATAGAGATCAGTTTTTTTGCAAGCATTTCACCTTGCATTCCAGTGAGGCTTCCTCAGTGCAGTGATTCAGAAATGGGGATTGCCTTTCAATATTTATAGTCTGTGTGGAATTTTTGCAAAACTTCTAGAAAAAACTTGATCTCTGCTTTGGTACTGATCTTCCTAAGCCCAGAGAACCTGAACTAAAAGTATGTAAGGTGAAATTTGCTTTAAAATTTTTAGAAATAAGTGAAAGATTTATACAGTCTGAAGAGAAACTAGAGAAATTTGCTTTTCTAAAAAATATATGCTAATTAACTACCAGAAGTATAGATAGATATACAATGGTATTATAATATAATTTCAGAATTAACAATAATTATGATAAAGAGAAAAGGCCATGGGAAGACCTCCATAAATTGACCATATTAATTGAAAGACTTCCTTACCCTTTTGTCAGAGAAATTAATTGAAATATTAACAAAAAATATGTATACTTCAGCAATGTGTTGTGCAAATCATGTATAAATTCAACTTCCTAGTGTAGTCTGATAATTCCTGTGGCCAACCCCAATGTACCCCAAATCCACAAGTCTACATTTATTAAACTTATAAACTTAAAAATATACCACTAATAATTAACAAATCAAGAAATCAAGAAATTCAAATACCTTGGTATTTAACAAATGCAAGATCTCTCCTACAGTCCTCCCCTTAAGAATGACCATACGTATTCATTCCACAATATCCCCATCAAGATTGAAGACAAATGTCTTTCATTTGGTTCTGAATTTTTAATAACATATATAAAATTATTAAATGAAATTTGCATTATTATGATGTGCAAGATGTAATTATAGCATTTAAAATCTGTTGATTATGATTTCATTCATCCAAGCCACCACCATTAATTTTGTTAATTTTTATTAATTGTATGCCATTAAAATATGCTATAACATGCATTTCAGTCAGAGAATCTTTTCACCAGAAAGTATTATAACATAGTGTGATAGCTTCTCCCAAAGAGGCTGAGAGTACCTTTCCATCAAATGATTGCTGGCATCTAAAGCTAGCACCTATAGAAATACCATCTGGTAAAATACTACTATGCAATGGCACAATCTGCTTTGTTCTCCAATGAAACTGATTAGGATCAAAATATGAAACAAACGGAAGTTTGTTTTTATATAAAAGGCATGGTATTGCTGCCATTGATATGAATAAATAATGAAAAATAAGATAATGTGTTACCTCTGAGTGTACATCCATAGGATTACAGTATTTATTGATTATAATGTGATAATGTGTTACTAAATACATATACAGGCTTTGAAGCTAAAGGATTCTACTTAAGCTAATATCAGGGTTTAACGATGCCCAGAAAAAATGCACATTCAAAAAAAATCTATAAATGGTTAGGTATAGCAATATAAAAAGTCATTAAATCTCTACTTTTTTTGTCTTAGGAATTTTTGCTTATTTTGATATTTGACCTTTGTTTGATGGCAGTTTGTTTACACAAACATTTTGTGGATGACACTTCATTTGTTTTTCAGGGAAATGGGTACTAACTAAGGACTACATAATTAATAGTGCTGAAAGTGGCAGATGGCTTGATGAAACAACTTATGAATGGGGATATAAAATTAAAAAATATTCTCTTTATTCACCTCAAATGCAATCTGCACCTAAAAGATGGCGCGAAGAGCTCACACGTTCTGGTGCTGCAGGAGCCTTCCACAAATGGAAAGTTGTCCTGTTTGTTATGAGTCATGATAAACGGAAGGATTCTTTTATAAGGTAGAGACAAGATCTTCAATTTGAACTAATGAATGATTAATTCACTAGAAAATAATTGTGTGTTTTTTCTTGTTACTATGCTATATATCAGTTCTTCCCTAGTGTTACTCTTTATGTGATGTATCTTTATATGAATTAATCCCGATGTGGTTAAAATTCTCTTTGTTAGTTGTGAGTATACTTTTAGTGTACACAGCTGTGGAACAAAATTCTGTTCTGTACAGGTAGTCCTCAACTTACAACAGCAACTGGGACTGGAATTTCCATTGCTAAGCGAAGTGGTCGTAAAGTGTGACCACATCACTTAGCGATGACAATCCCTGGAGTCCCAGTTGCCATCATTAACTGAATCCCATGGTCATTAGGCATGGCAACTACCTGCAGGCTTCCCACAAGCACAGTCATTGGGGAAGCTGGCAGAAAGTTGCAAGTCCCAGACCCACAGGAAGATAAGTAGCTGCTGCAAGGTGGGTGAGGGAGCAATGGGGTGTGTAGGGGAGGGTGCATTGGAGTGCGCAAGAGGTGTGGCATGAGTCAAGGAGGACACGAGGGTCCAGGCAAGGTGTGCGGGTTGGGGAGGGTGCACGAGAGGTGCAGCATGGGTTGGGGAGAGCATGAAGGTGCACAAGAGGCATGGTGTGGCTTGGGGAGGATGTGCACGGGTGTGAGGGGTGCATGAGGGGTGAAGGTTGGGGAGGATGTGTGAGAGGCACAGTGCAGGTCAGGGAGGGTGTGCGAGGGTACACGGTGGTGTGCGAGGGGCATTATGCAAGTCAGAGAGTGCAAAGGGGTGCTTGAGAGACACCATGGAGGTCGGGGAGGGTGCAGGGGATGTGCAAAAGGCATGGTATAGGTTATAAATATGATGAATCCTAGGTTGGGGCAATATATAAATATATATAAACACACATATGCACATATACTGATGTTTTATATTAAGGGTCTTTCCACATTTTCATGTAACCATGGCACAAACTTGCTATAGCAGCATTTTTCTGTCGTGTTCTATGATATCTTCATCTCACTCCCATCTATGAGACAGACATAAGTTATCTTTAGCTGTACTGATGTTAAAGTAGTATTTTCCCCTTTATTCTGATACCATTCCAAGGGCAGCATCCAAGATATAAAATTTGATTGACTTCGTCACTCATTACTGAAGAAGAAAGTCAGATGACTGCAGTGACTCAAAACAGAGGCAAAAGAAGATAGAAATTGGTAATGGGGAAAGCAAATTTCAAGCCAAAATAGTTTTCTGCCAACTCTAGTATGAGTTGATAACAGTAAATTTAACAGTAGAAAAGGTCTGAGTTTTATTGTTGTTTTAATTATTTACCATTCAGTTTTACTATTCAGTATTATTTCTTCCCTTAGCATCATTCCTACCCAGAACAGTTAATAGAACTTGAGGAACAATGAGAAACCATGACATTCACATATAGTGATATACTGAAGAGTAAATGACATTTAATTATATTGATATATTGAAGAACAAATAGGATGCTTAGTAGGTAGTGGGGTATTTGTTAGAGAGATTTACATACATACACACATACACATACGAGCACACATATTCTCAGATGCATATGTACACATATCCATTCTGTGATTGTCGGTATAGGAACTAAGAGAAAGAATTATTATTGTTTCAAGCTTTGCTTTTGAAACAGAATCATATTTACATTTAAAATATTTATCCTTCCATTTTTTTCAGGGTTCTAAAAGCTGGGAAGGCCAATATTTATGCAGCATTAAGTACACCGAAGGATATTACCCATGTTTTAACTAATAATACAATATTAAATCAACAAAAATGGAAACATCTCTTTGGAGCTCCATACTATCCAGTTCATTATTTAGGAAGTTATCTTTTAGAGGCAAGTATATAAACAAAATCCCTGCTTTAAACATAGCTGATGATTCATGATCAACTAGTTCTAAGTTAAATTATCATGGGGTTACTGTTCCAACTGTACCATATTAGTTTCTGAAATCTTTACATAAAAATTAGTAGTTAAGGTTCTGAAGTGAGAATCATTTGGATATCACTGCACCCATTATTTTGGTTATGTTGCATCAAATATGGCAGCATTCAGGAATTGTTGGGCAAGCCTGTCATTTTGTATGTTTGAGATTAACCAGTCCTGGCTGGCAAGAATTGCTTAACAGGAGGGAAGAGTTATTACAGCTTCAGCCCATGATCATTATGTGAACAATTAAATGGTAACTTATTAAATCTAAGTATATACAGTTGGCTTGCATATATATATATTCAAATCATTTATAGCCTTTTTACTTCATGTTAGCAACACATAAACCAGAAAGGTGCATTTAATCACAGTTTTCTGTAACAGATAAATTAGGGCCTATGCCTTTTTAAATGTTTTTTATTTGCTTTGCTATACAGAAATAAAAAGAAAAGAAAAAGAATAAAAGAAAAATGACATAAACGTATCACAATGCATAGAAAAAGCAGTTCAATATTTGAACAGAGCATTAAACCTTGATCACATAGAATAATTTATCAGTCTTTCTACTACATCATTAGAAAACCAGTTCATAACAGAATTAACACATATCAGTAAATCAAATATTGTGGGTCTATAGTGGCATTCTCTTTCCATCATAAGCAAATAACTTCTTTGCTACACCCCAAAGTTCAATTTTCAATATATTTCAATATTATATTAACATATTATTGTTCTTCTCAAAACCATATTAACAAATTTGTGCATATTTGTCCAGATGGGACAAGCCCATATCATACATGTAAGTATTCTCTCCATGATTTTATACTTCCAGCACAATGAAATTGACAACAAGCCTTTTCTAAAGATTCTCTGAGGTGTCCAATAAACGTGAACATTCTTCTGTTGAATTAAACTCATCATAATATATGAAACATATTTAATATTATTTAACTCATAACTGTTAACTTGTTAATGTCAGGTATTCCAGTTCTTTATTCCAAATGTCTTAAGTTAACCAATATTCATCTTAATAGTATTCTTTAATTGTTTATTTTTAAAAAGTATGCATTCATAACCATCCAAAGCATGTTTCAGTGCTAACAATAAGCTAGGAATGTTAAATGTTGTGAATACAACTAGACCAAATTGTGCAATCAAAGGCATTTCATTTAATATAGTCATTTCCCAGTTTTATACAATCCAAACTCCTCTTGCAGTATCTCAAATGGTTTAAAAAATTTGATTGGCAAAAAGCTGATCTAAAGTGTTCTTACCCTATTAGCCAATGAACAACAGCAACAAAAACCCTGCAATTTCAGACCAGAAAATCCAGAGCTATGCCAAGTTGCTTCTAAAAGCAGCTAGAATTGGAAGCCCACTTTAAATCATGGATTAAGTCTTTACCTATAGCTTTTGCTTGTAGCGTATTGGTTCAGAGCATAACTCGTTTAATAGCATATGGGAAGCTATGATAAATTCATTTCTGGTATTTTTCATATATGTAAGTAGAAGGGTAAAATATCTTCTGATGGGCTGGGTATGGTTATTCATATATCATGGCTTAATCCTGAATAAGAGCCATATAAGTTTCTGTGCATAGATTTCCTCATTCAATCCCCATATTCAAAACTTATTCCCACCGTAAACTATAGTATATAAATGAAATGACTGAAGGGTATAATGTAAGTGCAAGCATTTTAATAGTACACAGCATAGAATACACTGCGTTTTCCTATTTGTCTTTCATGTTGTAAAGAAGAATGGATATCATTTGCTGATTCTGATTACTCCCTCTGATTCACAATTGCTTCAATAAAAATTGTACTATTCAATATTAAGCTGTGTATTTTGGGTGTAACTATGTTTCAGTTATACTGTAATTGCTTGAGTTTATACTATTCTGTTGATTAACCATACTTATACAAAAATAATGTGTGTAATGCTTAGGATGAAATTAAAAGCAACATTGAAGAATACCAGAAGAAAAATGTTAAACATGAGCAAGAATCAAGAGGAGCAATGGTTGATATGCCACTTGTTGAAATGAGAAATGCACTTATCAAGCATATATATTATCAACAGGTAAAAACTAGTCTTTGTAAATCTCTTGCTTTTATGGTATGATAGAACAGGAACAAAAACAACAGCTGCAAATGGAAGAATGCAACATACATAAACAAAGCATAACCAGAGTTGGGCCAAAATTATTCTAACATATTTAGTTTGGCTGTCATTGTTAATTTGAATTTAGTGAGGGGTTCCCAGCTCTGATTTAAAAATAGCCAAAGCAAAGACACCCAGTGATGACATTTCATCACTGAGCTTGAGATTTTAAGTTGAGATTTTTCTAAGCCTCAGATATTAAATCTCAAAAATGGATTGCCAATGGAAGAAGTTGAAAACCACCTGTATTTAAAGAAAAGATGCATGACTTAGTTGCCAGCATTCTTCTAATGAAAAAACCATTCAGTAAGTATAAATAATATTCAATAACAAACTGTCTTGTTCAACTGAGATATTTTTCAGACAGAACTGAATATAGTAAAAGTTGTTTCAGTCTTAAACTTATTGCTTCATTTAATTTGATACCTACTTTAGAAAGAGGAACCTTGGTAGACATTCTCTCCTCCAAAGTCTTTCCAGATTGTTGGGAGCCTTTCTGAACAATTTGAGCTGTATTGGAGAGTGAAGTTGCTAAAAATTATGCAGAAGAATCTAGAAGTATTTTTATAGAAATGAATCTAAAAGGCATTAATCTAATTATATGAATTTAACACTGTACTTTATTATCTGACATTCTACATATCAGAGGTTACTTACACATTTAGAGGGGAAAGTAGCAGAATAATAAATATATAGATCTATTTATATGTTCCTTTAGCAATTCACTTGGAGGTTAGTCCACCTGCTGCAAACTTTGTTAAATAAGGAAAATGCATGAATACTGTACGTATGCACTTGACAGAGAAATTTAATGTTAAGTATTATCAGAAAAAAATAGACTCATGCTTCAACTTATAAGGTACCAGCTGCAAAGTCCTTTATATGAATTGGACTATAATTATCAGTATTCTTATTAGAAATTGGCAGGACTGATAACCATATAATGCCTATTTAGTTTGTCATGTAGTATTTCTTTGCATTACAATTAACTAACTGAATATGTTTATATTCAAAGAATGACTTGCTTTTAACCAACAGGCAATGCTAAGCAAGTACACTCAAATGGGCCAAATGGTGGAATGCAACAAAGAGGTAAGATTCTAAAACAATGAGGGTTGAAGGATGCTTGGAAATGACACATAAAGTGTATCCATCCATTTTTTTTCCCCTCTTGTTCCACTTTAAATGCTATTCTGGAAGGACTGAATTTCAGGAGGTTCTTTTTTTCCCCAGAGACACTAAGCAGTATATTATAGTATACTTCGGTCACAGCCATAGGTTTTGGTTAAGTGTTTGATTATGGAACTGCAACTCCTTGCTCCTAACTTTAAAAAAATCTAGGTTAATGTACCCATATTATTTTTAAAAACAGATTTTTGAAGGAATGACAAGCTTGGTTACTATAAAAATGTGAATTCATTCTTAGTTGGTTATAACTGTTCATGCTCAGTAATAGCTACATTCCAGTCTGAAGTTATTATGTATGTATTAAAGAGCCTACATGTATAAAAAATGTGCATAAAGTTCTGTATTGTAATTCTCTGGATCATCTCAGAATCTCTACTGAGGGGTAATTAGGTAGGCTAGAATACTATTGCAACATACATATCTTTTATGACTTTTGAAATATTGACAGGAATATCTCAGTACAGTGCATATTTCATGGCGTTCAACATTTGTTTATGGTGGAAATTGCGCAATTAATGATAACATTAGATATCTTGGTGAACTAATGACAGTGATGCAAAGGATTTGTGAAGGTTGAAGAACACTGCTTTAATGGGAGTCCCAAGTACTTTGTATAGCATTTCTGGCATCTTATTCACTGAGACAATTCTTAATTTTCTTAGCTTGATTAAGACTGGGGAAGCATAATCCATGATGTACCTCAAGTATAGGTATTTCACTTTTATTTCTTACTGTCCTATATTACACTAAGTCTTAGAGTAACAATTTCCAGAGGTAGTGCTGTAAGTCTTTAACAAGAAAAATAACACATCTTGTGGCACTGAAAAAACATTATTATGTAAACTCTCATGGATCACAATCCATTTCATCAGATGGATGGAGTATTTTATTATTGCCTTCTTATTGAAGACTGTTGTATAAACAAACAGCTGTTGGGGGATGGGGAAAGAGAAGGAAATAGGGCTGGTAAAAGGGAATGTTAGGAATAGGAAACAAAAGAAGAATAGCTTATTCAAGAGGATGAACAAGGGTATGAACCCCAATAAAGGAAATGTTGTGAATCCTACTTTTTGTCTTAGGTTTCAGTACTAGCATTCTTGAAGGAATATTTTCTGGAACTACTGATATATTCAGAGTTTCAATTTTTTAATCAAAATATAACTGATGCATTTTCTTTTGTGGAAGTGAAATCTTAAAAACAGGTTTTTTTAGGTTTGAAAACTTAATTAGATTAATTTGTTTTGCTTATAATCAAGCACAAGATAAAAAAGAATGTTATGATTCTTATAAAATTGTGGATACCAGCTGCAACCATTTAAAATAGCATTTCTGTTTTCTCTGTCACCCAAGATAGAAGCTATTCTTTATGCTGTTAAGTTATATTCATATGCAAATATCATTGATTAGTCAACAAACTCATATTATGAATCCAGAAAGGTTTTGTTTATTTCTGTTACCACCTAATGAAAAGTATTTTAATAATAATTCTTAAAAGTTTTACTTCTTAGCTTGAAAATGCTCACTGTTCGAGAGGAAACAAGATATTGGAAGAACTTGTGGATGATCATTTTTTTCCAATTGCAATCACAGAGTTTTTTTCTGGAAAAGATCTTATTCCTCCTGCTAAACTACTTCATTCTCTTTTAGAGCATATTCTACAGGTGAGAATAACATCTTACTTGTAGTTATTTTAACTGACACCAAAAAAATCACATCTTGAAATTATGAGTGTTAACTGCAGTGTAACTATAAATTATTTATGTTGAGACTGAGTGAAAACTAAGATTATTTGGTAATATTTGTATACTGTGGTAGAATTTTGTACATTTAAACTGAAGACTAGGACACATTAATTGAAGCACAAATTGGTTTATTGGCAGTGGAGGAGGCAAAGAGAGGCCTAAAGAGAGCTGGGGTTGCACCCCCTCTTTATAGACTGATGCAAATTAAAATATACACATGATTGGCTATGACAGCCAGGCATTTCATTGGCATAAAAACATCTCATGTGCTTAGGGAGATCAGTGAGACCATTAGGATGTAACTATAAGGTAATGGGGCAGGACTACAAAGACAGTGGTATTTTGAAAGAACAAAGAGGCAGTATTTAAAGAACATAGTTTTAGTTCTAGAACAGACAGGCAGAAGGCTTGCAGAGCGCATCCATGAACACCAACTAGCAGTCAGAAGACATGATGAAAACTCCTTAACCTCACAACACATGGACACACTTAACCATAGTTTCAACTGGGAAACTGTCAACATCTTAGATCAAACTGAATCCAAAAATGCAAGGGAATTCTTGGAAGCTTGGTATTCAGACAAGGCAGCTTTCAACTGGCACATAGAGATAAACAACATCTACACACTATTCAACAGAGACAGTAGAAAGGAAAACAAAAGACCAGAACATCTCCTCACCAGCAATTATCACCCAGATAAGCAGAGATTAACACCAAGATTACCACCGGTCATACAAGCAGTAAAAGACCAGAACATCTCCTCACCAGCAATTATCACCCAGATAAGCAGAGATTAACACCAAGATTACCACCGGTCATACAAGCAGTAAATAATACCTTAATCAAGGAACTACCAGAAGTAAAAAACAGAACAGAACAAAACCCACACCCCTACCAACACTGGCAGGGCATGCCACAATATATAAACAGAACAAACCCCATTCCAGTCTAGCACTGAAGATGTTACCTAGCCGGGTAATGAAACGTTTGCAAGAAAACAACCAAGGTCAGAGAACCCCAAGGACTCCACAGAACATAGTTTTTTTCCTAGGGAGTTAGTGTCTTTTGCTTTCCCAGAGCTCTGCTCACTTCCCAGTAGTTTTTCCCAGCTTATCAGCATTCCTTGGCCTTCTAAATGTTAGATGGCTAAGCTGACAGCATAATTTTCTTGAAAAAGTGTTTTTGTAATGGGGTAGTCGGCCAATTTGACACCGTTTAGCTAAGCCAATGCTTCATTTTTTTCCGGGAAGATGGTATTTGTGTTAAGAGGTTTTAACTTTATCAAAATCTCCTATAATACTTTCTTGAATTTTGTTATGAAGAAAGTGGATTACAGTGAAATAGAAACTCTGCTTAAATGACAGATTCAAAAACGTAAGGATATGATTTGATAAAATATAGAAGAACAGAAGTATACAGTTGTGTGTGTCTGTGTCTGTGTGTCTGTGAAATAAGTCACTCCTAAATTCTTCAGGAATTTAGAACATTATTAAAATAATAATCATATTAAGTTTGGAGCAAAACATGAAACTGATACACATTCATGATTGCTTACAGGGCAATTCAGACTCTACACTTTCTGTTCAGTTTTTTCACATAATGTATATTCTCCTCGAACATAATCCTCCTTGGAAATCACCTTCCATGCTAAGATATTACATTGAAGTTCTTCAGTGTCCTGTTTGTAAGAATGGAACATGGTCTCTGATGGAAATGCTTGTCAGGTAAAACCCTTGTGGAACTATTACATTATTGCTGAAGCAGCAAAATAGAGTTTTGGTTTTTGATTTTCATGTGAAGTGAACTTCTGTTAAGAAAAGATTTTTTTCAGTGGAATAGCTACTATTAATAGATGTACATTGCTTCTAGTATAGACCCACTGGATTAATTAACTGAGGAAGATTTTGATAGCCTCTAGATCACTTTTGAATCTCTACCTGTACTGGGCTATTATGCTCTGAATCTCTTGCTAATTAGAATTCTGTGGAGTCCTTGGTGCTCTCTGAGCTTGGTTGTTTGATTGTAGACGTTTCATTACCCAACGAAATAACATCAATGCACTGATTGCAGAAACATCTGCAATCAAACAACCAAGCTCAGAGAGCACCAAGGACTCCATAGTTCAACCCTGAGCTACATGTATTGTCTTCTAATTAGAATTCTTCCAGTTAATCATAGTTTCAGTAACTTTTAATTGTAAGGTAAAGTACATCTCATTAGTAACTATAATGGGTACTATAACATTCTTTTTTAACCATATAAATTGGAAGGTGCTGTTTATACTATCAGTTATTATCCCTTGCTCAGTGCAGGCATGCAGATTAAGGCCACTCTTGATAGATGGATGTCCAGTCTTTGCTTGAACGCATCCAATGAAGGGAAGTCTAAAACCTCACTGGGTAACTGTTGAACTGCTCTAATCCTTAGGAAGTTTTTAAATTCAGAATTTGCCTTTTTCTGAGTTAAATCCATTATTTATGGTGTAGGTCCTGGGTTCTCATGGGATCACCTCCAAGCACAATCTTTCCATCCATGTGGGATGGTCTGGTAGATAATAGCATGGAAGCATGCTTTTCCCGTGGCGGTACTAACAATAAGAAATTCTCTTTCTCTGAAATTAGGATAGTCCCCTCCTTAAATGGCATTCCATCCATTTTTTTAAGGAATGGTGGCTGTTAATTCCCTTGGAGAGGTTAAGTTTCATTGTTAACAATTAAGTACAGTGGGGCAAAAAAGTATTTAGTCAGCCACCAATTGTGCAAGTTCTCCCACTTAAAAAGATGAGAGAGGCCTGTAATTTTCATCATAGGTATACCTCAACTATGAGAGACAAAATGGGGGAAAAAATCCAGAAAATCACATTGTCTGATTTTTAAAGAATTTATTTGCAAATCATGGTGGAAAATAAGTATTTGGTCAATATCAAAAGCACACAGTTACAGTGGGGCAAAAAAGTATTTAGTCAGCCACCAATTGTGCAAGTTCTCCCACTTAAAAAGATGAGAGAGGCCTGTAATTTTCATCATAGGTATACCTCAACTATGAGAGACAAAATGGGGGAAAAAATCCAGAAAATCACATTGTCTGATTTTTAAAGAATTTATTTGCAAATCATGGTGGAAAATAAGTATTTGGTCAATATCAAAAGCACACAGTTACAGTGGGGCAAAAAAGTATTTAGTCAGCCACCAATTGTGCAAGTTCTCCCACTTAAAAAGATGAGAGAGGCCTGTAATTTTCATCATAGGTATACCTCAACTATGAGAGACAAAATGGGGGAAAAAATCCAGAAAATCACATTGTCTGATTTTTAAAGAATTTATTTGCAAATCATGGTGGAAAATAAGTATTTGGTCAATATCAAAAGCACACAGTTACAGTGGGGCAAAAAAGTATTTAGTCAGCCACCAATTGTGCAAGTTCTCCCACTTAAAAAGATGAGAGAGGCCTGTAATTTTCATCATAGGTATACCTCAACTATGAGAGACAAAATGGGGGAAAAAATCCAGAAAATCACATTGTCTGATTTTTAAAGAATTTATTTGCAAATCATGGTGGAAAATAAGTATTTGGTCAATATCAAAAGAGTGCACAATAGTAGTTGTAAACTCTGTATTTCATCTCTGGATAAAAACGAACAAAAGGTAGCTTTTGATATTGACCAAATACTTATTTTCCACCATGATTTGCAAATAAATTCTTTAAAAATCAGACAATGTGATTTTCTGGATTTTTTCCCCCATTTTGTCTCTCATAGTTGAGGTATACCTATGATGAAAATTACAGGCCTCTCTCATCTTTTTAAGTGGGAGAACTTGCACAATTGGTGGCTGACTAAATACTTTTTTGCCCCACTGTAACTGTGTGAACATTTATCTTTCCTTAATGTCCACCATAATCAGATAGAGCAAATATGGCATGACATACTTTCTTGGCTTACAGATTTCAGATCTCCTTTTCAGCTCTGATTATACCTTGTCCACAGACCAATTTCACAGAAGATTGTAAGGAAGTTATCGATAGTATTTCCAGGGCTACCTTTTGTTCGTTTTTATCCAGAGATGAAATACAGAGTTTACAACTACTATTGTGCACTTTCTGAAGTAAAAACTTCAAACTCTTCATTCACTTTTGTATGCATGCATCCATAAATTCCCAAACTTTGAGTCTAGCTGGCCCAACTAAGTTTGAATTCCAGGAGAATTGAGAGGGGAAGCTCACCATGCTTAATATCTCATTATATATGATAGCTCCAAAGTAATTGTCAGCCATGACATAACTTTACCAATTTCATCTTAGTACTTTTCCACATTAGTGCTTTATCCAGTTCATATGGAAGCCCTGTCCTGCTCTGTGAATCAACCTTTGCTTGGGCTGTTTCTTGTTGAGTCTTTCACATATCTTCATTCTAATGTTTTTCCTCATGTTCCGTAAGATGAAATCTACCAGACCATCCTTTAGCCTTTATTCTGCTTTGAGTAAGTCTCATCTACATTTTAGAGCTGTGCAGTACTTGGGATTTGAAGGCAGAAGAGTGATTTGAAGGACCTGAGTGTGAACATCTGTCTGCAACTGCTTAAATAGCCATATCTCTTCCCAGGACCATTTGCAACTTCACACACATTCATGACATAATGTACATGATATACATAGGAACCAAGTAACTGCAAATCAATATTATAATGACCATATAATGACAGTGGTTACACTATGATGTCATTCATGACTTCTCAGTGTAGCTTCTTGCCATCTATGCAAGGTCTTTTTTCTAACAGGAAGGCTTCGGCCTGAACTTTCTCCTCTCCTAACTCTAAGCTTTTGTTTTTTCAGCTCTAGCTACATGAAAAATCATAGCTGATCTTTATTATCTTTGTTAATTAAAAGTATCCAGTTTTGAAATTGATCTTGTTCACAACCTTTGATCAGTTTACATTTCTTACAGATCTTCTAAATAATTCAGAAAGTATGGATTCTATGTTCATTTGAGATTGTGCTATGGTATAGTTGGGTCAGATTAAAGAAACCTTTTCTTCTGGCTCTATTCAAAATATCTCAGTCTTGATTCACACGGCACAGCCTCCAATCTGTCATTCTGATGCTTTTCTCTACATAGTTTTTGCCTGCTTCTTTTTATGATGATTCTGTTGGACAATTGAGGCTTCTCATGCACTGCGGTATTAAACATATTTCAAATCTGCAGTATTTCAACTTTCTGATAAGAGATTTTGTTGCATGGATGGCAGAAAAGTGCAAAGTTTATGTTAATCGGACTTCCATGAGATGATCATTAATTGGATATGAAAAAGAAGAAAAAAAAACCCTTGAGTGCAATCAGAGCCAGCAAAAGGTTAATTGCTTTAGAAACAGATGCACACTTTCTAGGATGAAGAGGTTCATGAGCCAAACCGTTTTTAAGCAATTTAAAACTCTCAAAATTATAATTCAAATGTGTACAAAGATACAATTTTTTTTAAACTTTGTTGTGCATATCTATCTTGTCAGACAAATACTGGATTTTTAAAAACCTCATAGCAATAATTGGAGCCAGTAATTGTAGAGCAATAGATCATCAGAAACATGTGATTTCTATAGCACCTCCTACTTTCCTGAGTGATGACACTTTATTCTGGTGGATATTTGTACTTTGTGGTTATTATTTTGTACATTTCTGTGTCCACAATGAATAGCTATTGCAATTAGTAAAAATATTACCATTGCAGCACTTTATGCAGTAAAGAAGACTCAATATAGTTACTGCCTTCCTTATTTTGAAAGCATCCATTTGAAATTTCCCTTCTGTATCTGTCAGCTGCCCTTTTTCATACTCAGTACTGTGTTGCAAAATTAGGCCTCTGATCTAATGAGTTATAACCACAAAAACAGCACTCTCAGAACGCAAAGATATATACCTCAAATGGACTTAAATGTAAACATCTGGGTGGTAAATAGAAAAATCACATGAAAATATGTTAAATTGATTGATAGAATCTTAATTATTGTGAGTTTTCCCCTCTCCAGATCTTGTCTTTATGGCAGTAATATTTGTCATTCAGTCACGAATCCAGAAATTACAGATGTGGACAAAACCTTTCATAAAAAACTGCTGATATTTGTGAGGAATTTGTTCAACGCTGAAGTGCTGGCATTAACAAAAAGGTATTGTTTTTTCCTTTTAGCCTTTGTATTTATATTTCTAACTTGTTTTATAGTAAACTCGTTCTCTGTCTCAGAAATAGGCTGTGCTACTTAGAAATGTATACATTAAATATTAGGGCTGTGCACTGCTTTGGATTTAGCAAAAAGGTGCTTTGGAGTCTATAAAACTTAAAACAGCTGTGCCTTTTCCTGGGATTATGCAGCTGCCCAGTACACTGCTATGTAATCCTAAGAAAAGACATGTTTGATTTCAGGAGTTGCAGGCAAGGCCTACATTTGTGCCCCCATGTGCTCTGAAGCTCCTTTTTGTCTTTAAATCCAAATCAGGTGCACAGCCCTATTACAAAAATTAGTTATTTCATGACACATATTTAAAGGATTTTAAAAATAATAATTTTAGGTGTTGATGGTGTTCTATTTTATTTGAAGTTCTGTGTATCCTTTAATTATAGCAAATTAAAATTATTTTACACAACCTGCAAATAAAGCTTACAATTTGCTGTAATATGCTATAAACTGCATTGGAGAAGTAAGAGATAGACATATTTGTGGCAGAAGAAACCAGTGTAGCTCAGGTATAGGAACCCTATAGTGTCCTCCAGAAATTGTGAACTATAATTCCCATACCATTTACTTTGTTGCTTGAGAATTATGGGTGTTGAATCCAAAGTATTCAAAAGGCACCCTGTTGTTTAGCTCTCATTTAGCTAGACCACAAACAGATATTTAATATTGATTTCATCTTTCTCCCTTGCTCTCCACAATATTTTGTCTCGGTTTCGAATTTCCTACATACATACAAAAATAATCTCGTAAATTAAGATAACAATACTATATCATAGTTTTTGCATAATAGGTGTTCTTAATACTCATATTTGTTGTATGCTATGGCTGAGCTGTTGAACGTCACCTATTATAGTCCTTTATTTGAAATAACAGATTAGTTAAAAGCGTTTTTTTCTTAAAGAAGCCACCTGTAAATGGCAAGACAGCAAGCTTCTACATTTTATATGGTTTAAATGTAGCCTAAAACATCACTTCATTGTTTATCACGTATTATATAGGTTCTTTGTTATATTGTTAAACTTGCAGGTTTTGACAGAAAATGCAGAGTGTACTAAAGTCTAACAAATTAAGAACTTAAATCTAGAAATGAGTGTTTCTTTTACAGATTGTATGAAGGAAGCGATTCACATAATCTGCAACTGATGCCACAGACCATTCTTTTGAACACCTTTTGGTTAGGAACTGATTCAGCGCTTTTCACCAAACAAATAAATATTCTAACAGACTGGGTCATAAATTCATATAGAGAAAAGTACAAGACAAATGACGTGAGTGATTTACCTAATATAAAGATAAAAAAGAAATATTTTTAGATGTTTCACTTTCTCTCAGATATGCTCTGTTCCATTGTTACACATGTAACACATACTTGATATTTTGTAGCATGGTACAGATTAATATAGATATTTGTATATGAGGTATACATCTAGTGACTGTTTGGAAACATCCACATACATTTCTTGGCAGCAGTATAGAGTTGTTTTGCCCTTGTCTTTTTCCCAATTAGGCCTACAGCTTTGGGATTTTCTGATGATTTTTCCACCCAAATGCTAACCAGAGTTCCTTGTCTTGATATTTGAATCCTGACAGCATCAGCCTGGTGCTGCCACATACTACTTATAAAACATGGGCCACTGCTTGCTAGTCTGATTATGGGCATATGCAGAGACAGCACTAACTGTCTATTCCCTTGAACAATAATTTTATATTGCAACTCTCTTACTGGCTTATTATGGTGGATGCTTATGTTAGTACACATAGTCCTCGCTTACCGACCATTTGTTCAGCAACTGAAGTTGCAACAGTGCTGAACTAGGAGTACTTACAACCAGTCCTTGAAGTTCTGGCCATTGCAGCACCCCTGTGGTCACATGACAGCAATTCAGGCACTTGGCAACTAGCTTGTATGTACAACAGTTGCAGTGTCCCATGGTCACGTAATCGCCATTTGTGACCTTCCCTGCTGGTTTCCCACAAGCAAAGTCCATGGGGAAGCTGGCAGGGAAGGTCACAAGTTGCTCTAGTAAGTCCCGCCTTCCTGTGCACTACACCGTGCCCTCCTTCCCTCGGCCTCCCTGCACTCACACGCATGCACCCCAGCCCTCTTTACCTCGGCCTCCCTGTGCACCCAAGCTGTCTCCCCTGTGGCATCCCTGCGCCCCTTATCTGGGACTCCCGCCACTTCCCGCTTAATGATCATGTGCCTTGGGGTTATGACAACAATCAGGCTGCCTGGATTGCTGTCGCTAAATGATGCAGTCATGTGACATCATTCTTTACAACCACATCACTTAGTAACAGCAGTCCTGGTCCCAATTGCTATTGTAACTCGAGGACTACATGTACTGCTGTTAACCATGACTAATTCTAATGCAAACTTTGCAACACTGGGTGAAATTCATTCGGAATCATTATAAAAATGTACTACTGTTAACCATGACTAATTCTAATGCAAACTTTGCAACACTGGGTGAAATTCATTCAGAATCATTATAAAAATGTACTACTGTTAACCATGACTAATTCTAATGCAAACTTTGCAACACTGGGTGAAATTCATTCAGAATCATTATAAAAATGGAAG